TTGTGAGAATCGATGGCCTGATGATCTGAGGTGGAGCTGAGGCGGTGATGCTAGCACTGGGGAGCGGCTGCAAATACAGAGTATCATTAGCAGAGAGGTTTGACTGCACAGAGACCAAAATAAATCAATTGTTTGCAGACTCATATCCAAACCCTATCATGTATCATCCCGAAACCATCCCCTGTCCCGGTCCATGGAAAAATTGTCTTCCACAAAACCAGTCCCTGGTGCCAAAAAGGTTGGGGACCGCTGGTTTAGAGGATGAATGAAGAAGGAAGAAAAATGATTAAGAGATTGGAAGCACAGGTGATGGGTTGGCTTGGAGCTAGACCTGGTGAAAATATATGAATTAGTTCAATTTAAAAAGAGCCACCTGCTTATTGTTTTTCTTGTTTTTATAATTAGTTTCATACAAAGCAGAGGCAATGCCAATCATTTGAATCAGTCAAAGAAGTAAAGGTAGAAATAACATAACCAAGAAAGATCTGTTAAAAAAAAAATTTCTAGGACACATTTCTGAAATCACATTTCACAGGACTTAGAATGGCCATCACAATCACCAAATATTAGCAGTCCTATCTACCACCCTATTGTGTTTATATACATGTAATATAAATTGGGTACATTTATGCACAGCAGTAGTTAAATAAATCGTCTTTCTGGAATTCAAAGCTTAAAATCTGAACAGTTAAAGCTATAACTATACTGCAGTGCTTAGGCTGCAATCCTGGGAGTAAGACCCATTTAATGGTCTTACTTCTAAGGAAACTTGCAAAGGATTAAGGTACTGTTAAACACTACATTTTGCCAGTTTAGTGAATTAATTTCTCCAACAATCCTTGAGAATTAGAGAGCTTAGAAAGATCTACAACAAAAAAGTTAAATTCACAGAATTCTTTGAAAAAAAGCTGCTTGTGGCATCCATCTAGGATGCACAGTGAAATCAACTCTTTTACAGGTAGTCCTCAGGTTACGACCATTCATTCAGCGACCATTCAAAGTTATGACAATGCTAAATGAATGATACTTACAATGGGTCCTTGTCATTTCAGCTGCCACAGCATCCCCACAGTCACATGATTTCAATCTGGGTGCTTGGCACCTGGCTTGCAATTACGATGTTGCAATGAGCTGCAGTCATGTGATCATGATTTCTGACATTCCCTGCTGGCTTCTCACAAGCAAAGTCAATGGGGAAGCCAGCAGGAAGTCGGAAGTTGGGGTCATGTGAGGTCCTCACTTAATGATCCATGCAGTTTAACTATGGCACTTCGGGGATTGCCTTTGCTAAGTGACACAGTCACATGACATCCCGCTTTATGACCGTATCACTTACTGATGGCAGTTCTGGTCCCAATTGCCCTCATAAGCCAAGGACTACCTGTATTTGCTAACTCTGTGTTGGATTTTGGCTTCTATTTTAGCCTACCAGATCTTGGCTGCAGAAATCAAGGCAACCACAAGATGTCAGAAAAGAGATATCAAAACTTCTGCCACCTACTGGCTATCTAGATTTTTGCTGCCTGGATCTGGTAGCCTTATTGTATATACCCATCTTGATGTTACTCACCTAATATTTTTTATTTAGGTCAAAACCTTCATCTAGTTCTCTTCCTGTGGTGTATGTCTCACATGTTGATTAAATCATTTTTCAACATCTTTGAATCTATTTTAAGGCAAGTGAAAATGAGCTGGAACTGTCTGAAATGACTTTGTCCCAAATAAGCAGACTTTTGAAGGTATACTTCAGAGATTTGAAATTGTTGTCAGAAAACTCAGTTTTTCCCAGTTTCCCCCTCTCTTTCTTTTGGAAGAAGCCACATTTGTAGTGTAGCTTGAAGTGTTGTAGTGGTTAATGTTTAAATCTCTTGGCAAAGTAAAATGAAGCAATCCCAAACCAGGGAGATTCCATAAGTCCCACTCAGAGAGGGAACCCAACATGATTGCAAGTATACAAACTCACCTCTGCTGATCTGACCAACTTCCTCTGTCAGGTTCAATCTATTTACCACTAACTGCAGATCCCACATATGTCCAAACTTATATTCAGTACCATTAACAATACTCATATGGCCTTTCTAGCATGAGAAGGAAATATGGAGGTTCCTGTCCTTTTTGTTTGCTCGTTGTTCATTTGCTGGGAGGGGAGGTTATGTTTAACAATAGTCCCACTTACCTTTGGGAAAATATGAACAGGTAACTCCATATGAAAATAACTGACATATTCTGCTTTTATGTATTCTTTCAAAACTGTAATAATTTATTGTGTATAGAGACATAGCTTTATCATACCTAGTGTTTATGTAAATAAAAAGCCTTACCTTTATATATACACACATATATAAATGTATTTTAAAAATGCCAAAGAAATACTGTCTTCTGTCTCATCTTGAAGTTTCACTATATGAAATTGATATTTATATTTATTATATGTAACACACTAGAAGGCTATGGACTGTTTGAAGTCCTGCCTTTTTCCAAATGCATCTTCACAAGGATTATGTCTGATTAATTTGAATTAGTCTCAAATAATTTTGAGAAATTCACAGAGAATTTCTTGGTGGGCTTTCCCAAACTGTTAATGAATTTCAGCCTGTTTAATCACATATATCCTCTATCCAAATTCTCTGTACACTAACTATCGTTCCAAAATATATTAATATTTTCAAGGAAAGCAACAACCCAGTTCTTAGCCCTTTCATTGCTTTCATCCAAATAAGCTGACATTTTTATATCTGACCCTAAATTTCCCATAAATATTTTTTTCAGTATTTTTGCACCCTTCCAAACAAATTTGCAGAATTCTACATCTTCCCAAAAGAATATTGCAAAATGCACTTTCTACCTCATCTCATCCAATTTTATTATTTTCTGTTTTGGAAAGCCATTTTCAATATGCCCCTGCTTTATTTTTTAAAATCCTTATTTAACCATTTTAATAACCTTCTTTAATCCAAACTCTATACTCATGGAAGCTGTTTTTGAAAGCATTTCTAGACTATGTTGTAACGTCGTTTTGAATGTAACCCTCTGATTCCTTGGAGGATATGGCATGACCATCTGAAGAGATCATCCTGGAGGTTGTAAAGCTTCTCATCAATAAGGTTTTCACTCTGACGGTGCTTCTAGCAGCAATGACAGTGAAAAGCAGGGCATGGAGAAGGCCATTTTCAGGGATGTAACCATTGTTTTTCCTTAAACAGAGCCTACAGCATGAAAAAAGTTAAATGAAAAAGAAAGGGAGATATATTCTATCCTGGCTGATGGTTCTTCTACCATGGATTCTTTTTTTCGTGTCTGTATAGGATTGTTTTACTTTCTGACCAGTTTTGATATGTAGCATGACCTTCAGATGAAAAGGAATGCCACACTTTGATTAGAAAGAGAAAAGTAAATAGAGAAAAAACCAAAGAGACAATGCATCATGTCTCTTCTGCAA